GGGGATGGAAGAAGAGGAGGGGTGGCCAAGCGATGACTTGGTCTAGAGGAATGAAGGTCCGTAGCTGGCCTCGGTTGGAGCTTCACCGTTTCCTGGTTGGGGTCCAAAAGACAATGAACACGTTGGGCTAGATACACTTGCTGACTTGGCAAGGAGGCGACCTCATTGGCGTTCCTGTTGTGAGTTTCTTTGTCCAACCCCATCCTTTTTAGCCTTCCCCTCCAACCACGATCTCATTTCGTAGCGCAAAATAATTTTACATAATAATTTTTCTTTTTGCCTAGTAGCCGGCTGGTAGCTGACCGGAACGATGCCTATCCGTTGCTGGTAGGTCAGCTGGCATGCAACTGTTGTATTTATTTTCCTTTCCCTTTATGTATTGCGGCACAGTAGCTGAGGTGTTTCCCACCTCCAGCTGACGTGTGTAATGATGATGATGAGGGCTGTCCTACTCTATCGAAGCGAGACTTGGCATCTCTGATCTGAGGACCTGTGACACTTTCGAGACTTTGATCATCTTTGTCTGTAAAGGGTTGCTGGTGTTGAATGTCGCCAGTTTGTCCGCAACGAAGATTTGCGTAAGCGAGTACTAGACAGTGATAACCAGGCTAGTTCCTTGGAACAACAGATGGTACTGAATATTTTGCGTTGGCTTGGGCATGTGCTACATATGCTCGGTCACCGCTTACCGAGGAGGTCCTTGTTTTGTTTGCCGTATATAAGTTAGCGCAAAAGCCGAGGTGGGCGAAAAATCAACTTGGCGGTGGGGAATGAAGTCACTGAGGAGCCAACTCGGTGCCGTCGGTCCGTTTCGCTTTCCAGGCTGGGGTCCACGTGACCCGCCATGTGCTTGAGAACTTACCCTACATGGCTCGCAGTCGACACCAGCGGCTTGTCCGCTGTCGTCTTCAAGTCGGATTGCTTGTTTAATGTGTGAGTTATCTGCTGGGGAATGGCTATTCACGATGCGGGGCAGTGAAATCCGCAAGGAAGCTGTCTTGCTGATGCCGCATTATCTGCGCCTTAACCAGCTGTTTGTGATGGTAGATTCTTTACAAGGTGTAGGCGCCTTGATTCCGAGTGTTTGTTTAGGGTATTAGGGTTTTACCGTAGGTCACCCTTCTCTCTCTCTTATTGTTCTTCCTTCCGTCGGTATCCGTGGTTGTACGGCGGTGAAGCATCTGTTCCAGTGGCTGATGTACTGCTGTTGGTGTTGATGATTCTTCAGCCTAGCGGCAAACGCGACCATTGTACCCTCTCATTACAGGAGACTCGACGCCTCACTGTTCATAACCAAGGCAGTCGCTGTCGGAATTTCTGACACGTCGATCGTAACCGTCTGCTGACTGCTGCAAGCGTTACCGATTGTACTATCTCTGATGGCTTGGACTTGGATGCGGCGTGGATCTCTTTGTTCATCAAAATGATATCACTGCTTGTGATAGTCGTTCCACTCACAAAATATGCCTTCTATCAGTTGATCGTGAATTGTGATCCCTGATGAACAAGAGACGGAAGTCATGGGATCGTTTCTGGGTTACCCCGTTGGACCATGACTACTTAAGCTAGAAAGCAATTGGAAATCTCTATATTACACATAACTCTGCAATATCTTTTTGGCTGTACGATCCAGAGCAACTTCAAACTGCTCTTCTACCTGCAGAAATGTACCAAACCTGTTAGTGGTATTACCGCTTTGTATTCCACTGACCAAGTTGTCTTACTTCACGAAGACTCCGCGAAGCTAGTCTCTTAGCCGGGCATTATTCGTCTGACTACTTGGGCAAAATACCGTTGTCCAATGATGATGTACCCAGGTTACCCTCTCTTCTGGAGCACGTAGATATCATTGTCGATAATGTCGAGAAGCTTCTTCTTCAGCTTGACCCGAATTCTTCTTTAGGTCCTAATGGGTTGAAGCCCTTGTTCTTCGGAACTGTGGCTGGTCACATTGCTACACCTGTCTGCAGAGTCTTTCGTCGCTCATTAGTAGCTGGACGCCTCTCGGTTGCCTATAAAGTGGGAATGGTCGAACCGATATACAAAGGACGAGATTGTCAAGATTCTGCGAGTTATCGACTCATCTGCTTAACCTCATTAATATGCAAACTTCTGGAGCGGATTCCCAGACGAGCTCTGCAGATCCATCTAGACGCTCTGGACGTTATCTCTGGCGCTTAGCATGCATTTCAGAGAGCGCCGTCGTGTATCACAAATTTGCTTGTTGCCAGAGACAAGTGCGTGAATTCATTGGACACTGCCAAACATCTTGCTGTTGTTTTGTGGACTTCAGCAGGGCGTTTGACAAGGTCCTGCACCAACAGCTCCGTTGTAAACTCCGAGGAATTGGTGTATCTGGGATCTTTCTCTTTTGGATCTCTGATTTCCTATGTGATTGCACCATGCGAGTGAAGGTGAATGATACGTCTTCCGTCCCATCTCTTATGACCAGTCGGGTTCCACAAGGGTCACTCCCTGGGTCTGAAGTCTTCAAAATCATCAACGACCCTCCCAACACGCTTCAGATGGATTTTTTAATCTATGCGGATTACCTGAAGCTATGGAGGTATCCAGCCTGAATGATGCCGACACTACGTCGGTCGAGCTAGTACATGAATAGTTAGCCAAGTGGCAAATGCCATTGAATCGCGACAAATGCCCCGTTTCTTTAATTGGCGCTTCTGAACCGCTCGGGGTCTATCATATTGATGGGTTCATGCTCAAAAATGTTTTTCAGGTGTGGGCCCTTAGCATACTTCTGTCCCCTGACCTAAGACCAACTCTGGACACCTTGAAGATGGTCGCCTCTGCCAGCAAAATGTTCCACACTATACGAACAGCCTTCTCCCAAGTGGCGCCAAAGATTTTCATGCTTCTATTTGCCTTTCACCTGGGGCCGATTCTCGAGTACGGGTTGCTTGCTGCCTATCTTCTCACGAAGCCTGAATGCAGCTCGTAATGAGGTTTGAGCAAACGGCCGAAGCAGTTCGGCCTGATAGGCTAACCGCGGGTCATGGAACACAGCAGATTCGCCCGAGCGAAGAAACCTCACGCGACTGGACGGTGACCACTCACGTGAAAGAAAAGCAATACTGTAGCGCGGCAAACACACCAATAGCACGTTACGCGTATCGAAAAGCCGAAAGAACAGATTTGCCAGCTAAACGATGGGTAAGCACTGACGACCCAAAATCGCGATTAACGGCACACTGTCCGCGTACCAGCCGAAAAACGACGACCAATCTGGTACCAGTGACAGAACACAGGCGACATCGAAACGCAGTCTAGCGATAGAGTGGATGATGGTGCAACCACGAGCCACTAAAACAGAAAGACAACGCAACCAATTAAGCTAACCAGATGATAGGCTATCCAGTGCAATAATGCGAAAGAAAATAGTGTATTTTTTCGATAAATATGCGAAGCCTCTGGCAATAAACGATTCTGCTGACCGCCACCGAGGCTTGGTTTTTGATTGCCGTCTCGTCCTGATTGATAAGATTCAGCGATGCGGGTCGAAAGGTGTCCTGGAGTTACGTAATCTCCATTGTATCTTCGGCTTCAGCGGATGAACCTGTTCTCTCTGGATTACCGTCGCCGCCTTGAAGATCTTATTTTCATACGAGATATTCTAAGTGGGGAGTTAAGAGCTGAGCTTTAAGCGTTCTTTTGACTGAACTCTGAAGACCTGACTCGTGTGCATAGCTGGGAACTGTTTAAACCGCGGAGGCTTCTATTAAATACCAAACTTGCTCTAACTACTCGTGTGGTAAACGACTGACCAGCAAGTCGTCAGTGCGCACAAAGAGGAAAGTTTCAAACGACTATTGGATTTTTATCTGACGAGTATGCCGGGTTTTTGTTTTTTTCCTATGAAAGTACAACGCTCCCCTATGGAATCCCGTTTCTAAACGAATCGAGGCATCCGCACCATGATCTGGATGTGATGGAGCTGACAAAGCGTCTTCCTTCTGTACTCTACAATCCAATGATTCCAATGAAGAATTTCGCTTCGGTTGCCCATTATGGCCCTTTCTACCAAACACGTTACGGATGCATTTGCAGTCCGCGCCAGATGCCCAACTTTCGCTTATCTATTCTGCTCGCTTCTCGTTTTCAGGTTCCTTTCGTAGCCATACCTCCATTTCCTATGACAATGGACACAGGCAATCAAATCCCGCTGCATTGGCATATTGTGCTGGACTTCGCGCCATCCACCGCCGGACATCAATTGTCATCTCTAATTTTTATGAATCTTACGATGCCCAGGTAACAACGTAACATCGATTCTTTTCAGTGTTGGAGTCACTTATACCTCGCCATCCAGCAACTGATTAAGCAACCTCATGTTCTGTAGAATTGAAGACTGGTAGCTCAGGTTGTTCAGGTGGCAGTTGAACTGTTCGCTGAGCTTGGCAATTTGGTTGCAGATGTTTCCTCACCAATCGAGGTGACATTATCAGCGCGTAGTTGAGTGGCGTGCAGTAACGTAGGAGAGCGTAGAGGAGCCTCGTTGAGAGTGCCGATGCTCTTCTACGCTCTCCTACGCTACTGCACGCCATTCAACTACGTACTGATGATGTCACCTCGATTGGTGACGAAACATTGGCAACTAAATTGCCAAGCTCAGCGAACAGTTCAACTGCCTTCTTCATGTTCCTTCGTCATTGTCATAAACCGCATAGTGCTTCACCAATGACCCTCATTCGGTGGAAGAGAATTATGTTGCGGCATCCATCAGTCGGATCTCTGCACTCAGGCGCCACATATTTCTCGGCGGTTTTCTTTCCACAAGTCCTGCACAAACTAAAACTGGGAATTGCCTCTCCATTCGATCCTTCTCGTTAACATATTTAAACTCTAGTTAACTCCGTTTGCTGTTATTATGTGACCTTGTTTTGCGTCTTGGTCTCATATGTACCACTGAGTTCGGTTTATACTTGCTGCGTCTAACCGCTCCTTGTGTAATCACTGTTGAACGTTTGCTTTTCCCTATTTCAGTTAATTGGATTTATTTGTGCTTTTACTAAGAACGGTGCGCGTCACATCTTCCTCCGATTCCGTTTCAACTTTCGTCTTTTTTGCCTCCGCCATGGACACAGAGAAGCTGCTGTGGGCTGTGAAGAATGGTGATATACAGAGCTTCCAGGATCTATCCTTGAATGTTCGGTCACCATATATACATAATTCACTTTCAAGCTTAAAGATTTGAGCAGTATATCAGCCAATGGCCGTAGTCTCCTGCATCACGCGGCGGATTATGGACAACCAGAAATCTGTGAATATCTTTTATCAAAAGGAGCCGACCTTAATGTACGTCAAACATTCTTAGCCACCCAATTTTCCTTAGAGCGTTGATAAGTATGGCGTCACACCCTTACTAGCAGCAATTTATGAAGATCATGTTGCTTGCGTCCGGGTGCTTCTAGAGAAGGTGAGATGATGGCTTTTAACATTGTATTTTCAGGGTGCTCAGTTTGTTAAGACTCCAGCCGTTTCTTCTTATATGGAGGTCGCAGGATCCCAAGAATTGAGAGATCTACTCCGAAAATATGGTGCTGTGTAGTGTTCCCTGACAAGATAACGTCCAGCTGCATTTCTTTGATTTTATCATTTTAGCTGTCAGGCTTCCCATGTGCCTTAAATATAATTTCCTTTGCTCAATAACTGTTCTATTTTACTCAGTAACTTCGCATTGCGCGCTTCACAACTATTTTCTGTTATCATCCGTTTCTAAGGTACTGTTTGCCGTTTGTTGATCTGCCTAGCTTACAGTTGTGATGTCCGAGCTGCATGGGATTATCATTGTCCGGCTAGAAACCCCTTTCGCTATGTACGACTTCAGGCTTAAGTGTCCTCATTTCTCCACACTGCATGTTCTGGGGAATCTACGCGGTCCAACTGGAACCTGCCTATTAACGATGTTATTTTTCGTGTGAAAATTAGCCACAACCGCGACTATACACTTTGAGTGCTATTCAGGTTTGGCTTTTTATGCTTTCAGTCGATGCGGTTTTGTTTTACTCGAGAGTTCTGTTCCCTTAGACTGGTCACATGGCGACTTCGAATCGTTTCTTTCGGCTTTTTACTACGATGGGCGCCTATCGCAAGTGAACATGCCATTCAACATTCAGTTGGGTTTCTGTTACTGACTTGTTACTTCTCTTTTTGTGGTCGTACTGATACCTCAATCGTCGATTTTCCAGGTTCATTCAGGCCGATGAAGTCTACACCTGTCTAACGCCACCACCTTACCAGTTGCCCTGTTTTTGTACCACCGGTTCTCAAACCTTTCGGCCTGTGTACCCCTTTTTAGTGGAACCTCGCACAGCGGACTCTGTGATAACTACAGGACTAGGCTTTAATAATATAAGGCATCAGCAGTACGCCGTTACGCAGTTTCGATGTTTCGCTGCGGCGCAACCACCGCCGGTCGCACGCGGAATAAGGATACTACGAGGGTCGCCCTGCCCCTACGCAGGCTCGAACCTTGCGCTGCGAGATTACGAGACAAGTTCGTTGCCTCTAGGCTACGGACTGGCATATACGAATGAAGTGGAGTGTCCTGAAAACTTTCGTTACTCTATTTTGAATAAACACGGTGTTCATTAATGTTAGGAAAAAATGAAAGATGTTAAATTTGGGTAGAAAAGATCACGCACATTTGTCCTCCATGTATGGGATGAAATTATTTCTGACATACTACCCGGACTTCTTATATGTTAGATGTTATTGACAAAAGCTGCAACATCATATTTGTTTCAGCTTCAAATATCCATCGCAATGAGACTGGACCTTACCGCGTTGCGATGGTTTGCGTGCATCAACAATCCATTGAGCTGGGTGGTGCTTTTTTGCACCTTTAGAGCCACTCATACCAGATTGGTCAATGGATAGGGGCCGGACAAACTCACTCTCCTTGTCCTGGCTGGGGATTGGGGTGAGCGTGGTTCCTTACTCATTAAAACGGAATCCTTGTAGTCCACTGCCAAACTCTACTTCCTTGTGGTCAGATTTTTCAGCCAAAGACTCTGATTGAGAACCCTAATCCTTCTCTTATCCAGGCCTGGGCGACCTGACAGTATCTTCTTAACGCAACACGATGGTTCTCTCTTCAAACAAATTTCTGATGCTTTGGCCACCGCAGCTGATAATCAACGGTGCCCTATCTACTGCGTCGAACAGGGTGGATAGGGGTTTGGATACTACTGCTCAAATCTCCCCGTCTTCTTATTCTCTTACGCTTTTTTACCCTTACCGTTCCGTTCTAGCTTCACTTTATCTCCCGCATTTTCAACTCCCCGATTCTTGGCCCTTCCCCACCATGTTTCGATAGACCTTTTCTTCTAATTTCAAATCATGCAAATGCGGAGCGTCACTCTTGCCTTATATACAAGCTCATGTCTAACCAGGCGGTCAACTCCAGTTTACAGGCTTCTGTTTGGGCCCCGAACATCCATTTGATTGACACACCACAATATGCGCATTTGGTAACGGATCAGTCGCTAGGCATTATTTACCCGAACATTAGAGGCCCTCTGAATCGATATCTGCTGCCTACCGGAAGCCGCCTACAAGATCCGAGTTCTGTTCTCACTCTGCCACCCCTTCAGTTGACACTAGCAGTGCTTTCTAATTGCGTCTAGTCGGAGACGAGGTAGCTTTGAGTACCGGCTAAGGCGGTGTTCGTATTGCCTTGAGTCCCCGGTCTGAAGCTGCTCTAGTTGTTTCACGAATTAGCACTAGACGCTATTTGTTGGCGGTTTCCGATTATGTCCTCAGTAACTGCTGTTCTGATGCTGTCAAGGAAGCCTTTACCACGAACTGAACACACTTTTTCGTGATGCTACTACTTCAGATATCATGGTTCTTTCAGAAGATATGAATGCGAAAATCGGTTGTCTGAGCTCATCAGGAGCTCAGCTAGATTGGACGTAATTCCATTTGGACGGACAACGTCGAGTATCTGTTACAGCTGTGTGTTGAACACCGGCTCTTTCTCAGTAACACAGCTTTTACACAGCGGGCGACGAAGTGCGCTTGGTATCCCCCCATTGCCGGCGAGCAGTGGACCCAAATTGATCACGTTGCTATAAGTTACAGGTGTCGTAGTTCCCTCTTAGACTATCGTTCGTGCTGGAATACCTGCCTCGACTCTGATCATGCCTTGGTACGCCCCTGACGGAGCTGTAGGCTAACTGGCGCCTTCCCTGGTTGCGGATTGTGGAATGCCTTGTGGTGGTAACTGCGAATCGGTTGCGTCTGCTTTACAAGTTAGATAAATAACCAGTCGCGGACAATAAGCGGCAACATCTTAGAGCGTGGAGAGCTCCGGGCTGCTAACCTGGTTCTCCATCAAATACCACAACATTTCCTACGGCGCTGTGTCAAAGCCGATGTGACCAGCTATAGGCTAACTGATCAATCACTTCTATATCCGGAGGTATCTAACGAAGGGCGGATGATTAGCCCTGCTGGCCACCGGCTTCTCTGTTTACTGCAACCGAATACAAAGAAGGCGAATAAGCCACATGGCTGTCAACAGTCTTCGTGTTCGCCCCGCTGCCTTGCGGGTCAGGTCTTTAAGACCAAAGGCTCGGGGTGAGGTCCCTTAACGCTCTTATTCGGCCTGGTCAACCGGGAAGTTCGTTGTCCACACAACACTCATGGATCTTCTTCGCCTGGGTTCGCTGTCGTTTTTCCATGAGCTTTACCTGCAGGCATGCCACGCGTATCCTTCGCTTGGCGACTGAAAAGTTATCTCAGTCCACAGTCAGATGAGTCTACTAGAATGCCTTGCGTACCGAAATTTTGCTCTCTTGTCTTAATGACATTGGACTTCAGTGGAATAGGATCTCGGCCGCCATGCACGACGCGGGAGCCTCTGCTTGCGGCACTATCAATCGTCACTGCACTGAGGTTGTGAACCTGTTGGAATCCAGAAGAAACCTCCCGGTTGATCCTGAGCACAATTTGACCAGACGGACTATTAGTCGTGAACTATAGCGGAGACTGTGTGTTGATTAGAAAGTCTGGTGAACCAGTCGGGCTCAGTAAATTGAGGAGGTAGGGCAGTAGGCAACTATCTCAAGGTCTTCCAACTGATCCATATCACTTGTCCTAAAAAATAAGGCGTCAGTCAAACAGGGAGCGTACGCGCGTACTGATTAACACTAAAGAGCGCCGTATGGCTCATTTGGCGGAGTACTTTTGAAGTCAATTCAGTTGGCCTCCTGCTTCCGGACTATCTACTCATTGTTGTAGGCTGAGCCATGGACGGTTAGTTTAGTGAGTTCACTCGCGGCTGAAGCACTGGATGCGATCACAGCCCCTACTCGTTTTCATGCTGCTGACCCGGATTCGCTTGCATCCGCACTATTTCACGATGGAGGTGAGGTCCTCTGCAATGCACTGGCCTCCCCGTACAAACAGATCTGGAAGGCGAAGACCATCCCAGGAGGGTCGATTATAATGGCAAAATATAAGGTCAATTGCACCTTCTGTGTTAATCACAAAGGTATTGGCCTAACGCCAAGAGCAACATACAAATGGTCCTCTCACACCCTAGGGTTCTCGTTTCGAAACGTTGGATGTCCATCAATCCGCCGTCATTAGGGTTCGTTACAAAGACGCCGTAATCTGGAGCAGCATCGAACACACATGAAGATAAATATTAAACAGAGCAGGGGCTATAACACGGCTTTGCTTCACAACGGAGAAAGCCTCAGTCATCCGGCGTTTGTCCACTCAGCTACACCCTCGCCCGCATACAACTAGACAGACATACAATTTAACTTGCCACATTAATCGGACAACTAAACTCACTCGACACCAGCCACAGCGCCTCGCGGTTCACTGTATCAAATACCTTAGTGAAGTCTATGCTCATCAATTACAATGATTGATGTCGTTTTCGGCCTTTCTCTTGCAGTTGACCACCTGCGAACACCATGCCTTTTATGCTTTGTCCCGAACGGAATCCGCATTTCTCTCCAACCACGTTCAGTTCAACAACGTGAGTGACGAGGTGGTTAAGCAGGATTCGTGCGATCACCTGCCTCACACAACTTGATGCCACGATAATTCGTCGCACATGGCTTACTCCCTTTAGCCTTGTACATTGGTAGCACAATGACATACTTCAAGTCAAACAACACTTCCTCTTCAAACCACACGATTTTCACCACGTGGTGCAGCCGGTGGCCGAGTGGTCTGTGCACCTGGTTTGCAACCATAAGGTCCCCGGTTCGAATCCGGGTAGGGTTGGGCGTCCTCGCGGTATACTCAGCCCGCGCGCGACTGGTGGTGGTCGCGCGACAGCGAAGCGCCGTTACGGCGTACGGCTGGCACAATATATATATGGATACATATATATATATATATATATATATATATATATGGTTGGCGGCATCAGGTTTCGGATTTGCCTGTCACTGTGGCCAGCCACTGGACGCCTGCGCCTACAGAGGGACCATGGATGGCTCGCGCTGCACCACCCACAGCTCTTTTGACACACTCCGTATCCAGTGTAAACCCGAAGGAATAAGACCGGGAGGCATGTGGATGGGAGCCACGTTTCTTCAACGGAGCTGGCCCACACTCCTTCACAGACAAACACAAGCACGCTGTATTTGGGAATCAAGTGCACTCAAGGCGGTGGCT